CCCAGCCCCACCACCGCGGCCCTCCCGCGCCGAATAACGAGACACGGAAGCTGCGGGTACAGAAACTGTTTATTAGCGGAGAAGGCCCACAGCCTCACTTCTTCTTGGACACGCCCACGGTGCGGCCGCGGCGGCCGGTGGTCTTGGTGTGCTGGCCCCGGACGCGAAGGCTGCGCGGAGAGAGGCCACGGGTCACACACCCCAAGGGCCCGGCGCAGCCCCCAGCAAGCCCTGCTCGCCCACCGCAAGCGGGCGGCTCCCACTCACCCCCAGAAGTGGCGCAGCCCCCTGTGGGCTCTGATCTTCTTCAGTCGCTCCAGGTCTTCTCGGAGCTTGTTGTCCAGACCGTTGGCCAGAACCTGGACGCGGAGGTGGGGGTCGTGGGTGTCTCTCCCTAGCCAGTTCGCCTGCACCCCACTCCAAACCCCGGGTCTCCCCACACACCTGGCTGTACTTCCCATCCTTTACGTCCTTCTGTCTGTTCAGGAACCAGTCTGGGATCTTGTACTGGCGCGGATTCTGCATGATCGTGATCACACGCTCCACCTGCGGGCACAGCTGGTCAGGCGCGGGTGGCCACCTTCCCACGTGGGCCCAGCCCCTGCCCTTTCCCGTCCTCACCTCATCCTCCGTGAGCTCTCCAGCCCTCTTGGTAAGGTCAATGTCTGCTTTCCTCAATACCACATGAGCGTATCTTCGCCCCACACCCTGTAAGAAGTCTGAGAATCAGGCCCAAGTCCGATCTTCCCCTTATAACCCTGCTGTTCAAAATGAACCTACAATAATCTAGTCCTTCCCAGTTTGCCAAAGCACTCTTCTGTCACCCACCTTTCCAGATAGGTAGGAAGCCTAGCCACTGAACCGGAAGGAGAGGCAGGTGTGGTGGCACATGCCGGCAGTTCCAGCACTTGGGAGGCTGAGGCAATACATGCTGCCAAATTCAAGGCCAGCCCCAACTACTGTACAGTGAGATGGTCTCAGAAACCAAAAACGCAGACAACTTTGTTCTAGGTGAGGCCTGAACCCAAAACAGAAATGCACCACCCCTGTAAAAGCAGGACTCCTCCACAGCACACGTAGCTTGTCTGTGCCCTGTTATTTCTACGCTGTGAAGAACGATCCATTTCTCCAAGCTGAAGCAGCAACAGAGGGTCTTGTTAATAGGGTTGTTCCAGGCATAGGATTACTGTTTGTCCGGATTTCTCAGGGTCACGATTCTTTGGACAAGTCAAGAGACTGAAATTTCCCATCATCACAAATGACTGTCAGCACCCAGAAGTGACCCTTAACCTAGGGACCTAACTGCTCAAGTCATACTCGAAAGCAGCTTAAATTAATGCTTGTATCAGTGACAACACAGCAACACCCCATCACAAGCACACCTGTCATCTGAACTCATGAACCAAGCTTTGGTTAACCAAGAATGGTAAGCGGGCATGGTGGCGTGTGATCCCAGCACTGTGGAAAGCTGAAACTCTCAGAGGACTGCAAATTCAAGGCCAGCCCAGCAATTTGTGTGGAGCGCGTGGGGGTGGGGCGGGGGTGTCGGGATGTAGCCCAGTGTGAACGCCCTGGGGCTCAATGCCCAGTGTGTGTGTCTGTATGTGTGTGTGGTCCCCTGGACTAGGTAAATGCTCCCTTCTCCTCCCCACTGGTGCTTACCCAGACCCTCACAGTGTAACTTTATGTCCTCTTTGCCAAAGCAATTAGGTTCACTAGATTAGGAGACCCTAAATCTGGTGACTGGTGAACCTGAGCAGACACGACAAAGAGCCACACAAGGGAGACAGTGCAGTAGTGGCAGCTCCAAGTCAAGAAAAGCCAAGAGCCAAGGATGACCACCAGTAGACAGGAAGAAGCAAGCTTGGGCTCTTGGTCCCTTCACAGCGAGCACGGTTCTGCTGACATCCTTTTGCCCACAAGAGGTTTCTGTTAGTTGACTCAGTACATTAGGGTCTCTCTCTCAAATTTTCTTTCTTATGTGACAACTATATGCCTGACACTTATTTCAAACTGGGAGTGGGTGGTATGCAAAGCCAACTTTTCTCATTTTTATGTACATTTTGATACAGGGTCTTGCAGTTAAGCAAGCTGACCTGAAACTCATAACTCTCCTTTAGCATCCAGACAGCTAGTAGGAGATAGGGCGCCTGGTTAAATTTATACATATGCACCACCATGTCTGGTATGGCCAAATGTGTTGACAAACCCATGATCCATGGGAGTTACTTTCTCATGTTTACAATCTAAGGCCCCACTCATGTCACAAAAAAATCTGTATCAACTTTGTGCAGTGTTATTCATGGGGATTTTTGCAGGATAACAATTCCTCAACAAGGGCCCTGGGCACTTCCCAGGTAGTGACCAACCCAAAACCCTCCCTCCAGTTTACAAATAATCCACAAGCAGCAGCTGTCAAGCTTACTGAGAGGTGGTGTAGGTGGGAAGATCATCCTTAAAGAGTACAGCAAGTAGCTGGGCATGGTGGCGCATGCCTATAATCCCAGCACTCAGGAGGCTGAGGCAGGAGGATCGCTGCGAGTTTTGAGACCAGCCTGGGCTACAAAGTGAACTCAAGGCCAACCTGAACTGCAACCTGTCTCAAAAAGACATTAAAAAAAAAAAAAAAAAAAGTACAGCAAGCATCTGGGAGTGGGTTCCCACACTTGTAATCCCAGTACTCTGGGAGGGTGGGGCTAGCGCATCACGACTTCCAGCTCTAGACCCTGTCTCAAACCAACAACCAGGAAGGCATGAGCAGAGAGGAACCTCCCTCTCACTCCCTATGCTGACTCTCAAGTTTTATCACGCAGCCCCCATCAGTGTAAGCTTTCTTGGTTAAGGCACCTTCCTTAGCCACACCTTTGGAGGAATCCTTCTTGTCCACATACTCAGCCTTTTCCCTGCTCCATCTCCTTTCAGTGTTTCTGCCCCAACCTTTGGTTCTCTCATAATTAAACGGATGTCTCTGCTGACTTTCCACACACCTAGCAAAAACCTTTGTACTCACAGAAGCTAGGGGATGGCCTTTCCCAGTTAATAAGCAGGACGTCAGTATCACCAAGAGATGCTACCTCAGCCCCTCACCATGTACCCAAACATGCCCTGGACAAACTTTTCTACAAACATGAACTTGGCGTTCTGGACATCTACCAGGTTGGGCGTTGTACTTCTATTATTTGGCAGCTGTATTATCATACGCCCTGTATCATTTGGAAGTCTTCCACCAAGAGAATGAGATGGAGATAAAAGAGTTTGCTTTTGTTTGGAAAAAAAAAATGCTTCTCTCTAAGTTGACCACATAGCAGTCACCCCATCTTTTTACTTCATTATCTCAGGTCTGCCTTACGGTAATTTCCCAAACAGGCACTGTACTGTACACTGCCTAGTTAGCTTCAGGGTGTCCAACAGAAAGAAGCGGCTTTCCTCTAAACCTTCTGAGAACAAATGAAAGTTGTGTTCCCTGCAATACAGAATGAAAAGTGAGCACGACGAATTTCAAAGCTATGCTTCACTCTGTAATTTATCTTTTGCACCAAGCCTATGCGAGCATTCATTCCTCTAACTAAACAGGTGCCCTTCATTTTATGCCCTGTATAAAAAAACTTGCTACTTCACCCTTAATTCCTTAAAACCAGGCAACACTACTCCTGGTACCACCCCTTCCCTAATGCGGCCTGAACACCCACCATACACCAGAAGCTGGGGATGGTCATTAACACACAGACTTAGCCAGCCCCCATGCAGTCTACAATACTGATTCCCACAATTACGTATTTTGATTAAAAAAATAGTAATGCCCCCATTTGGAAGGCCTAGCATTCCCTAGCTTTGTGAAGCGAAGCATCTTAGGTTGCAGCCACCATTTCAATAGCAACAAGCCAAGACCACTGCTGGTCCCCACTTCAACCGGAGAGGAGGAGCAGTGACATCTGAGTAAATGCCCAGCTCACACCCACCTACTTCAACTTCACACTTGCTATCTGTAGACAGTTCTACTCGCCTCAAGATATATAGAAATCAGCCAAATTTTAGGGTTCATAAATTACAAACAAGGTGTCGTTATGATGTACGGGGGGAGAAAGATTAGGAAAAAAAAAAAAACAAAAAACGAATCTAGAAAGGACCTCTCAAAACTGACAGTCCAAGAAAATTTGAGGCAAGTCTGTAGGCAACTGCAGCCACTCCCCACCTGCCTGTGGGAAATGTTTTGGCTTGGCCTCAGACCACTCTCCGCCTTTTGTAGCTTTCCTTTGGTGATGAAAGTCCTAAGAGGTTTAGTTACTTCCTTTAGTTATTTTTCTCTTACACTAGGAGTTGAAGTGCTAAGGATGGGTCTTTATGTCCCTTCAGCCTTGTCTCTTTTACAGGGTAGGCTGGGACAGCCCACACTTCACCGGAATTCCTTACCCCTTCCTTGCTTTACCTTAATGGCAGTGATGGCAAAGGCTATTTTCCGCCGCCCATCGATGTTGGTGTTGAGTACTCGCAAAATGTGCTGGAACTTCTCAGGGATCACTAGAGACTGAAAGAGCACAGGGGAGAAATCAGAGACCCTGAACTATCATCAAACCGCAAGGTCTCTAAGGTAAGTAACCTCCAACAGAACACTACACTTATCACACTGGGAGCAAAGACCCCTCTCTCCCGCTTAGGTTCTCACACAACCAACTCCTCCGTCTTCAGAAAGCTGGAACACGAAACGATCAAGCCTGAGAAAGTGCAAACTCTGGAAAGCGCACGTCAGCCGTTCCGAAAAGTACGCTGAGGGGCGGAGGCCGGAGGGCGCCACAAACGCCCAAGCCTCTGGCAGCTTTCGTGCGCCCGGGGAGTGACCCCTCCTGGGCCCTGCTCCCCGGAATTCCAGTCTTTGGTCGTCCCTTCCCAGGGATGCGTTCGAAGGCTCCAAAGGAAAGCAGCAAGCCCTCCAAATAGGCCATCCTCGGTGTTCTGCCAGCAAACTTTCCCTGCCCGGGTTCCGATGTCGCCGGATCCCAGCACGGGTTCCAGTCTTACCATGGCGATAGCAGCAACAGCGGCGTGTAGGCCTCCTGCGGAAGAGAGAGCGGACGTGACGTCACGTTCTTATATAGCTTTTAGGCGGAAGAGGCGGAGTAATGAAGAAAAGCACTTCCGGATACTGCTTCAGCGGGAGTTGTGGTCTGAAAATTTGGATTGGGTATCACAACTTCCGGTGCGGCCCTTTTTTTTTTTTTTTAACCGTGGTGGAGTTCCTGGTGTGTGCGCTTCTAGAGTTCCTGCACGAGAGTGTGCATAAGACTGTCAGTTCTCATTTCCACTTTGGTGAAGTGGTCAGAGCTGAAGGGGCGAGGCTGGAGTTAAACAATTTAAATTCAATATATGGGAACAATTTCGGACTGTGCAAGACGCTCTGGGATTTGTAGTTCTGCTGGGGAGAACCGACTCGGCTACTGACAGCTGCCGGAAGTGAGGCTGCGGGGGAATGGCCGCCGCCGCGACCATGGCGGCAGCTGCGCGGGAGTTGGTGTTGCGGGCTGGGGCTTCAGATCTGGAGGAAGAGGAGGGTCCCCTGGTGAGAGCGCGGGGCTGTTTGTCCTTCGTCGTCTCCTGTGGTCGTCCTTGTGTCAAATAGGCCTGGGCTGGGTTTAAGCACAGAGGTTGGCGATCCCCTTCTACGGGTGATGCTACCTGTCTGGCTGCCCATCGCCTCCTTGGGTTGGGACCCGACCCTCAGCGGAGATCCGATGGACTGAGACTCAGGTTCCGGGGCACGGTTTCAATTTCCCATTCACATTTTTTGGGTAGGGAAATGATACAGTGTAAAGGTTAAGACTGCTTGGGTTCTGATTGCAGCTTTGCCATTCACAGGCTGAGTGTCCTGGGCAAGTTAACCAGCCTCTCAGCGCCATCATTTTCCACACCCATGAAGTGGAGGCGATAATAGAACCGATCATGTAGTTGTCGTTAGGATTAGATGAGTGCGTTTAGGACCTGGCACACTATGTGTTCGCTGACAATTCTAGGAAGTCGAGGCTCCCAGAAGTCTGGTAATAGAATACCTGAGGTATCAGGAATCTAAGGGTCCTAAATTCAAACGCGTCTGCCTTGTCCTGTACAATTTCTAATTTTCCTCATTTGCACACCTTTACTGCCTTTATAGAGTGCCTTTTTTTTTAAAACTATATGCTATGTCCATCAGCCCAAAGTAGTAGTACGTTGAGTAAATCGTGAGATTAGACCCTTTGGACACAGGACTGTGGCTCCCCAGTAAAAACCTCCCTCTGCCTCACCTGAGGGATTGGGGATATCCAGTTATATTTTGTTCTCCCTGATCTCCTTGGATCCCCTCCCATTAACTTGTCTCTCTCCAGGGAGGTGGTCCTGGGCTGCAGGAGCCACTGCAACTTGGGGAGTTGGATATCACCTCTGACGAATTCATCCTGGATGAAGTAGATGGTAAGTGATGTTATGGGGTGCAAGCAGAATATAGTAGGTCTCTCTTATCATCTAGAAATAATGTCTGAGACCTGAGTAGATAACTCCTTCCACTAAACTCTAGAGGTATTATGGTTTTTTTCCTAATTATCTATATGTATGATTTTAAAATTTGTTTGTTTATTTATTTATTTATTTATTCTTGTGATACTGGGGTTTGAACCCAGGGCCCCATGTATGCTAGGAAGTGCTCTACCATTGAGCTGTGTTCCCAGCCCTTTTTATTTTTGAGACAGGATTTGATGAGTTGCCGAGGCAGGCCTCAAACTTGTAATTCCTCCTGCCTCAACCTCCCAGATGGCTAGGATTACAGCTGTGTGCCACCACACCTAGCTGATAAAGTTTAATTTATAAATTAGGGACAGTAAGAGAATAACAGCAACAATAATAAATCAGAACCTAGGTGTGGTGGTGCACACCTGTCATCCCAGCACTTAGGAGGCTGAAGCAGGAATATCACCATGAGTTTGAGGCGACCCTGGGCTGCATAAGTGAATTGAAGGTCAGCCTGTACTACATAGTGAGACTCTGCCTCAAAAAACCCAAACAAACAACAAAGAACAAGAACAGTTACAGCAATATACTGTAATCCAGTTGCTGGAATCATTACTGTTGTACTTTGGTACTGTTATTTAAGTAGAATGAGGTAATTCGAATATAAGCACTTCCAACATGGATGATCAGTCTGATAACTGGGAAGGCATCTAAGTGACTGCCAGGCTGGTAGCGTGTACACCATGAACACACTGGGCAACAGGATGATGCACATCTGGGCGGGATGGAACAGGGTAACAAAGATTTCATCAAGCTACTCAGTATGGTGCACCATTTAAAACATATGCATATTTCTGGAATTTTCCATTTAGTATTTTTAGTCTACCGTTGACTCCAGGTAACTGAAATAGCAGAGTAAAACTGCATCTGAGGGAACTGTACCTGTAAGCTTTGAGGCATGGGGGCGAGAAGGAAGAAGGCGGGGACTGCTGTGCGGTCTCAGTGTGGGGAGAAGGAGCTGTGGAGCTGGACCCTTCTAATAAACTTCTGTTTCCAGTTCACATTCAGGCAAATCTGGAGGATGAGCTAGTAAAGGAAGCTCTCAAAACGGTGAGGTTGTCCACTCTACTAATCTGCCCCACTCCATCCAGCTCCCCCAAAGGAGAGAAAAAAATCTCTTGCTCTCATAATGTCACCCTACCCTCCAGCCCTTCACTGGCTCTGTCCCAGGGTCCCCCACTGTGACTTCCTCCTGACCTGTCATCTCTATGTTCTCCCAGGGTGTGGATCTCCGTCACTATTCAAAGCAGGTTGAGCTGGAGCTACAGCAGATAGAGCAGAAGTCCATTCGGGATTGTATCCTCCAGCAGAGAGACGGGATGGCGTTATTGGGACTATGTCGGGTGCAGTTGTAGACAGCCTGGCTGGGGCAGACCTCTCTCTGAGGTTTGTGTTGCCGTGGGGAGATTGGAGAGGATCTCTGCCGTCACTGTCAGGCCCTTGACTCTTGTGGCTTAGACATCCAGGAGAGTGAGAACATCGCGTCTCTGCACAACCAGATCACAGCCTGCGATGCTGTCCTGGAGGTTAGTAATGCAGCCTGCGGGCGCTGACAATGCTGATCCAGATCTTGACCTCTGGCACCATTCTTTGGCTTGTTAGCCTCAGGTGGGCACACGTACAGGTCACTTTCTGGCTGCCCCCAGCAGGCTTTTATTACTAATAGCATTTCCCTGTGACCTTTGGGGCACCTCATCATCTGCCACCCTCATGGGGTACTCACCAAGAAACTTGAGTGGCCCACTTGTCCTCTGCCAACCCTGAGGTTCTGCAGCGTCATCTTCTGCCCTCCCCCCAGCGCATGGAGCAGATGCTGGGAGCTTTTCAAAGTGACCTCAGCTCCATCAGCTCTGAGATCCGGACGCTGCAGGAGCAGTCAGGAGCCATGAACATTCGACTGCGAAACCGCCAGGCGGTTCGGGGGAAACTTGGGGAGCTGGTTGATGGTCTGGTGGTGCCCTCTGCTCTGGTCACGTGAGTCACTGGCTTGAAGGGTCATGATGTGCATAGTGGGTAGATGGGCTGGGGTGCCCTACCCTGTTTACTTTGGGGGTCTCCTGGCTCAGGTCATCAGGTCCCTTGTAGAAATTAGTGGGTGGGTTGACAACCATTTCTAACTGTGATGTGGTTGGATCGACCTTCTACTCCGCCCCACTCTTCCCTGCTCCCCAGGGCAATTCTGGAAGCTCCGGTGACAGAACCCAGGTTCCTGGAGCAGCTTCAGGAACTGGATGCCAAGGCAGCTGCAGTCAGAGAGCAGGAAGCCAGAGGCACGGCGGCCTGCGCGGATGTCAGGGGCGTGCTGGACCGGCTCCGGGTCAAGGTGGGGGAGGGAGTGGACGCCCCAGGAACTTGGCCCCGCCTGCTCCCGCAGATCTCATCCTTGCCTCTCTGGGTTCCCTGAACGTCTCGAGAAGTATTTGTTATTCTTCCTGAGGTTCACATCTGTCGCTTCCCCTGGTTTCTCCCGTACAGTGAAAGGGTTGCAACTTCACGCCCTCTGTTTGGTTCACCACATCTAGGCAGTGACGAAGATCCGAGAATTCATCCTCCAGAAGATTTATTCCTTCAGAAAACCAATGACCAACTACCAGATCCCCCAGACGGCCCTGCTGAAGTTCAGGTTGCCGCCCCAGGGAAGGGCACAGGGTGGCCTCTCGGCTTTGGAGCAGCCCGGCGTGGGCGGCTTGTTTCTTGGGAAGGCAAGGAGACTCACTTGTCCGTGGCCCCCCCAGGTTCTTCTATCAGTTCCTCCTGGGCAATGAGCGAGCAACGGCTAAGGAGATCAGGGATGAGTACGTGGAGACGCTGAGCAAAATATACCTGTCTTACTACCGCTCCTACCTAGGCCGGCTCATGAAGGTGCAGGTGAGGCCGAGGATCGAGAGGCGTTCCTGGGCCATGGGCTGGGAGGAGGCGACGTCTGGCAAGGAGGGACGGAGGGCAGGGACGTTTTTCTCTTGTGGGAAGAGGTGGTGAGCAGTGCTCTTCTTTGCTTTCTCCAGTATGAGGAAGTTGCTGAGAAAGATGATCTCATGGGCGTGGAGGACACAGCAAAGAAGGATATCCTGGAGCTGCCGGGCTTTGAGAATGGGAGGATGGCACGGGAAACGTACATATCATTTTGACACGTAGTTCTCCACTAGATTTCCGGGGGTGCAGAGATTCCCGGAAGCCCATCGCAGATGTCGGGGGAAGTGGGGCTGTGGTCCGGGTGGAGGGGTGTCTAGGTTCTGTCAGGCTGCCATTCCTAAATCCTTGGGCCCGGCGTGGCCTCATTTTCCTTGACTTTGACCCGCCGCACGATTCTTCTCCAAGCCGTCGCTCCGCAGCAGGAATACCATCTTCACCCTGGGGACCCGAGGCTCTGTCATCTCCCCTACTGAACTTGAGGCCCCCATCCTGGTGCCCCACACGGCCCAGCGTGGAGAGCAGAGGGTATGCAGAGGAGCCAGCTTCCGCTGGGAAGGGGACACCTTGGGCAAACCTTCCCTACCTTGGGGTCCCAGGGTAACCCCTCAGACATGGGAGCAGGCTGTCCCATCGCTCTGGGCTGCCGTGAAGGGGCTGGGCAGAGGGGGTGGCTCCTGAGGCAGCCGAGGGTGGCTGCAGCAGCAACATCAGTGCGCGAGGAGGCCGCTTGCTCTTCTGGCCCTGGGTCCCCGACCTTTTCAGTGCCCATTCAGGATGCTCTTTGCCGGCCTGAGGCTGAATGGGAGGGGTCTGCCGAGCTCCTTCCCCTGGGTTGCTGTTTCCGGTGCTGGATCCATCCCTCTGTCTCTCTTCTTTGCCTCTCCTAGTACCCATTTGAAGCCCTCTTCCGCAGCCAGCACTACGCCCTCCTAGACAATTCTTGCCGTGAATATCTTTTCATCTGTGAATTTTTTGTCGTGTCTGGTCCAGCTGCGCATGACCTATTCCATGCTGTCATGGGCCGAACGCTCAGCATGACCCTGGTGAGCTCCCTGATCCTGTGCTTTTATGCACCTTTGTCCTCATGGCATGGTGGGCTTCAAGTGGGTAGTCGTGACACCAGGAGCCCTCATTCTAAGACATTTAACCTGTACAGAGAGTGGACTCCTTTGACTCCTTGGCGTCCCTGAGCCTACGCCTGCTGCTTACCCACACTGGGCTAAAATAAAGCACCTGAAAACTTAAGGGCCCCTAAATCTTGGTGCTCTAACCCCTGGCCCCACTCAGTTCTGAGTTCTGCTGTGATTTAGCTTGTGATCCTGGTGATCTGGGAGGGACAAGTGGACGGTGGCCAGGGAAGGAGGGCGCATTTGCCTTTTAGGTCTTGCTCTGCCCAGGGCCTCATCCCCCAAGAAACATGCATTTATTCGTCCATAGCCACCGGGAACCACGGACTAACAGACACTCGCTTCCAATCTTTCCCTGTTCCCAAATCACAGAAACACCTGGAGTCCTACCTGGCTGACTGCTACGATGCCATTGCTGTTTTTCTCTGTATCCACATCGTTCTCCGATTCCGCAACATTGCAGCAAAGAGGGAGGTCCCGGCCCTGGACAGGTCACGGAGTTCTGGTCCTTGTTGCCCTGCAGGCTTGAGCCGGTGGGCTTGTGCAGCTCGAGCCTGGCCCGAGGGCTCCTGACCCGAGGTTGTTGACCCTTATTCCTGTTAGGGTACTCCCAAGGTAGCCACTGCTTTGTGGCTCACCTTCCCCACTCTCCCGGCCCACCATCAGCTGGAAGTCCGTCCCCGCTCCCTCTGCACCCCACGTACCTTGCCAGCTGACCTCTGGTTCTGCTTAAGCCCACAGGTACTGGGAACAGGTGCTCGCCTTGCTGTGGCCGAGGTTCGAACTGATCCTGGAGATGAACGTGCAGAGCGTGCGGAGCACTGACCCCCAGCGCCTCGGGGGGCTGGATACTCGGCCCCACTATGTGAGCGAGGGCGAGCATGTCTCAAGGATAGGCTCGAAGCTTTATGGGCGGGTACTGTGCCTGCTGGGCCGCACGACATGAGGGCAGTGTAGGTGTGGGACCACACTCCTGGGGAAGAGGGTGGCGGTCACATGGATGTTGTTGCTGGGGGCTGGAGAGGTTGAGTTGGTCGGGCCAGCGGTGGTTCTTCGCCTTCTTTCCCTAGATCACGCGCCGGTACGCAGAGTTCTCCTCGGCCCTTGTCAGCATCAACCAGACAATTCCCAACGAGCGGACCATGCAGCTGCTGGGACAGCTACAGGTGAGGCAGCAGGGCGGACCCCCGGCAGCAGCGAGGAGAGGCCGGGATGGCTGGGCCTTTTGGCATCCATTCCTCATTGGGTTTTAGGTGGAAGTGGAGAATTTTGTCCTCCGGGTGGCAGCTGAGTTCTCCTCCAGGAAGGAGCAGCTTGTGTTTCTGATCAACAACTACGACATGATGCTGGGTGTGCTGATGGTAAGGGCGCTCCCGCCTGTGTCCCCGCCCAGAGCACGTGGGCTTGCGAGGGCAGAGGTGATGTCTGTCTCGCTCAGTCTTGTCTGGGAGTCCTGCACAGTACCTGGAATCCGGGGTGAAGGACTGCTGTCCCCAGACCTGCCGTCACCCTGTGTGTTTCCTCAGGAGCGGGCTGCAGACGACAGCAAAGAGGTCGAGAGTTTCCAGCAGCTGCTCAACGCTCGGACACAGGTGGGGACGTGGGAAGGGGAGGGGACGGTTTTGTCCGCTGTACTCAGCTTACTGTGTGGAAGTTGGGGTACAGGGGATGTGGCATAATGGACCTCAGGTACACAGAATTGGAATTGTGTAACTGCAAGCTCACAGTATGCTGTCCTAGTGGTCTCATTTATTGCAATGAGTACATGTGAACATATCACACAATCCAAGAATAGCACCTTAGCAAAAATGTCAAACTGCATATTCCTTCTGCACCCACCCTCTCACTCTCATTCAGAGGTACCTGTTGACCTAAATATTGTGTTGGTCATGCTCTTGCTTCCCCCTATCCTTTGGGGTTTTGTCATGCTTAACAATAGCTGTATCTGCTGGGTGTGGTGGTGCACGCCTGTAGTCCCAGCTCTTGGAAGGCTAAAGCAGGAGGGTTGCCATGAGTTTGAGGCCAGCCTGGACTACATAGCAAGATCTTGTCTCAAACAAACAACAAAAACACTCAAAACATAATTATATAGTGAACTTTAAGAGCAAAATAAAAATATAACTCTACAAATATGGCAACACCATAATTAATTGTTGAGTACTATAACAACAGAATCAGAATTTTTTTGTGCATGATTTTTCAAATATTGTCAGGCTGTTGTGTATGGACGTAGCTCATTCTTGTTGACTGGTATATAAGGTTACATTGTGTGAATATACATATTCTGAGTGAACCATTTAGATTGTTTTTAGGTGTATTTTGTGTAGGGGGTACTGTGGATTGAACCCTGGGCCTTTGCCACTGAGCTACATCGCCAGCCCAGCCCTTTTTATTTTTATTCTTTTTTGTTTTTTTAAGACAAGGTCTTGCTGGGTGTAGTGGTGCTTGCCTGTAATCCCAGAACTGGGGAGGCTGAGGCAGGAGAATTGCCAAGAGTTTGAAGCCAGCCTGGGTTTACAAAGTGAGTTCTAGATCAGCCTGAACTGCATAGCGAAACTGTCTCAAAAAGACAAATAAAAGGACAAGGTCTTGCTCAATTGTTAGTTGCCCAGGCTGGGCTGGAACTTGTGATCCTCTTGCCTCAGCCTCTCTGAGTGCTGTGATTATAGGCATGCACCATCATGCCCAGTTGTTTTCAGTTTTTTTTTTTTCTTTTTTCTGCTATGAGCGTTGTTTTCTGAATAGTTGTATCTCTGAGTACACATGTCATCTGCTTTATCAAATGTTTCTCTTGGGAGCTGGGAGTGTAGCTTAGTGGTAGAGTTATTATTTAATAACTTAATGTACAAGAGGCCCTGGGTTCAATCCCCAGCAACATACAAGAAGTTTCTTTTAGGGGCTGGGGATTTAGCTCAGTGGCAAAGCGCCTGCCTGGCAAGCGCAAGGTCGTGAGTTTGATTCTCGGTACCGGAGAAAAACCAAACAAAAAAAAAAAGAAGTTTCTTTTAGATGTATATACCAGTAAGCCACTTTATTTTTATCATTTTATTTATATATTTGTTTGGATTCTTGAGACAGGGTCTTGCTATATATTTCAGGCTGGCTTCAAACTCACTATGTAGCGCAGGAGAAGATCACATGGCCATCTTCCTGCCTCAGCCTCCTGAATGCTAGAATTATAGGCATGTGCCACCATGTCCTACTAGTAAGCCATTTTCTATGAGAGAGGGCCAGATTGTTTTCTTAAATAGTTATACCAATTTCCTCCTTAACCAACAATATGTATGAATTTTCCCTGAGCCCCATTTTCTCCAGTGCGGTAATATCAGACTATCTTTGTGATCTCATTAAAACACTCACTAGTGTTTCAGATGTTTAGTAGCCACATGAATTTTTCTTTTTTATAAATGCAACATTTGACCTTTTAGCTGGGTGTGGTGGCACAAGCCTGTAATCTCAGCACTCGGGAGGCTGAGGCAGGAGGATCCTTGCGAGTTCGAGACCAGCCTAGGCTACAAAGAGAGCTCAAGGCCAGCCTAAACTGCATAGTGAGACCCTGTCACAAAAAAGGCAACGAAAAAAAATTGATCTTTTAAAAATTGGGTTGCTTATTGGTTTTTTTTTTTTTTTGATCTATAAGAATTCTAAAATTTATAAAAATTCTTGGGCCAGGGATGTAACTCAGTGGCACACCATCTACCTGACAAGCATGAGGTCCTGAGTTTGATTCCTGATACCAAAAAAGAAAAGAGAAAGAAAAGTATAAGAATTCTTTATATAGTCTACATTCTTATTTTGTATTGATTATATAGGTTCCGGGTATGTTCCTTTTTTTTGTTTTGTTTTTCGTTTTGCAATGCCAGGGATTGAACCCAGAGCCTTGCACATGCTAGGTATATCTGTCACCTTTTCCCTTTATAGGACAAAATACATATACAACTTTAAAGGGAAACGATTTACTTTGGCTCAGTTTCAGAGGGTTCGGTCCATGGTAGGCTGCGCTAAGGCAGAAATGTAACTGTGGAAGGGCATAGTAGAGGAAAACTAATCCACCCCCGGCAGCCAGGAAGTAGAGAGCCAGAGGAAAGGTACCTTCAAAGTCACCCCCAGTGACCCATTTCCTCCAGCCATGCCCCACCTTCTCACAGCATATTCAGCACATCAGTGTCCCATGATCTGATTGCCTCTGAACACATGAGCCTTTTGAGAACATCTTTAAAATTTTAAAAAAGCTTTAATTGTACATGTTTGCATTATATAACGATTACATTCATCACGGGGAGTTGGTACGTGTATATAACACATCGAACAATTCTTTTTACTTCCCTCTCCCCTGCCCCTCCCTCCATCTCTTGGTTGGGGTTTTTGATCCCAACCATACATAACACTAGGCAAACACCTTACCACAGAGTCATATCCCAAACGCTTTTTACTTTTTTGGTGTTGTCTTTAGATGAACAGAAATTCTTAATCTTAATGTGATTGAATTTATTTATTTGTTTTTGTGCTGAGGATCGAACCCAGGGCTTTAATGTACCTAGGTATAAATTCTACCCTTGAGCTGCATCCAGAGCCCAGGTATCAAGCTTCACATCATCTGTATCTTTACTGATCACTTTTGTGTGCTTGACTTTTCAGTAGTTGGAGGTGATGTTTTAAAATCCACAGATGAGTCATGTGTTTTATCAAATCATGTTTATACAGTTTCAGCTTATTTTAAGTTTTCAAAAGTGTGTAATTGTTAGGTTTTACTGGTTACAAGACATTTGTCATTATATAATGATCTTTTTTAACCTATTAGGGCTTTTTTAATTTTTAAAATTTTAAAAATTTTTTGTTACTAGGAATTGAGCTTAGGACCTTGTGCTTGCCAGGCAGGTGCTGTGCTGCTGAGCTATGTCTCTAGCCAGGACTTTTTTTAAATTAGGACTTTTTCTTGGAGCCTGTTATGTGTTGTGTGAATATAGCTCTGCTGGATTTTTCTTTTTTTTTTAGTGCTGAGGATCATTTTACTGTTTTCAGTGTTACCTTTAGATGAACAAAAATTCTTAATCTTACATGATTGAGTTTATTTATTTGTTTGTTTATTTGTTGAATGCTGGGGATCAGACTCAGTGTCTTGTATATACTAGGCAAGCATTCTACCTCAGAGGTATATCTCCCACCAGCCAACTATATCTTGGATAATACCTTTTTTTTGTCTTTTTGAGGCAGTGTCTTGCTATGCAGTTCAGGCTGGCCTTGAGCTCACATTGTAGCTCAGGCTGGTCTTGAACTAATGACAGTCCTCCTACCTCAGCCTCCCAGTTGCTGGGATTACAGGAGTGTGCCACCATGCCCGGCGTGATAATACTTGCCTGTTAGTTTATTTCCATTCCTTTAATTTTAGCTTTTCATGGTTTGTTTTAGTTTAGTTTGGTTCTGTTCTGTTCTGTTCTGTCCTGTGACAGGGTCTTGCTATGTAGTCCATGCTATCCCTGAACTCACTATGTAGCCCATGCTGGTGGCGATTCTCTTGCTTCAGCCTTCTGAATGTTGGGATTACAGGCCTGGGCCACCATGCCCAGCTGTCATGTTTTCATGTTGTGTCTTTTGTAAATAACACATAGCTGGAATTTTTAAAAAATACAGTTGGAGCATCTCTTCCTCTAATTTATGATTTTAATTTATTTGTGTTTACTTAATGGTACATTTGGACTTTTTTCTACCATGTTTAATTTTGTTTATCCTTTGTTTTCTGTCATTCTTGGTAGGTGACCAGAAAGGATGTCAGCACCCCTTTGTACTTTTTTTTTTTTTTTTGAGACAAGGTTTCACTATGTAGTTCAGACTGGCCTGCAACTTGAGGTGATCCTCCTGCCTTAGCCTCCCAAGTGTTAGGATCACAGGCATGAGCCACCATGCTTGGCTTATAATTATTCAGTTATATCTAACTTGCTGTTTAACTTGTTGATTTAAAAAATTACTTAATTCTAAAAAGTTCTATTTTTTTCAAGTCTGTCCATTCCATTAATCACCTGTATTTCCTCACATCTGACAGGTTTAGATTTTACACAGGTTTTATACATGGGACAGTTCTCATCCCAGCAGGCTTTAGAGCGCTGAGTCCGTTGCTTGTGTCGTGTTTTGCTGATTCTCATGGGAGCTGGCTTCCTTAGGTGTTTGTCCGATGATCATGTTCATTGCTTGATCTTCATCAGTGGGAGCTGCGAGGGTCTGCAGAGGGTTGCGGATATTTGCCCCTGGAGATGATTTGCCTCTGTTTTTGCAGTAGCTGAAAGATGCATCTATTGGCTCTACTTTGGTGCCTCTTTGAGACTCTCCCAAGAGACCCAAGTCCAGCTGCTGGACACAGGATAGCCCTGGCCATTTGTCTTCTGATGGCCCTGCCTCTCCCAGCTGCCCACTATTGGGCAGCCCTGACAACAATTCCTTGTTGTTCTGCTCCCAGCTCAAAGTTTAGTTCAGCGGGTGTTGGAAGAGGGGGCTTCTTGAAGATTTCCTCTACTGCTTGTGAAATGATCAGTACTACAATAGGTGACCTTTTGGAATTGAGGTCTTTGTTATGGGCATGGCCTTGGCCCCTATGCAATCATGATGGCAGAGCTGGGGAAATCTGCTGTCGCCAGGGCACTCAGCTCTGTGTTCGCTTGTGTGTCCTCCAGGAGTTCATTGAAGAGTTGTTGTCTCCTCCTTTTGGGGGTCTGGTGGCATTTGTGAAGGAGGCTGAGGCTTTGATTGAGCGTGGACAGGCTGAGCGACTTCGAGGGGAGGAAGGTATGACAGTGGCATGGTCATGGGGGGGTCAGTGGTTAAGGAAGTGGGGAAAAAAAACCAGGATGCAGATGATGGGAGGAGCAGAGCCAGAAAGACCTGAGTGGAAGGGCAGAAAAGGTTTGAAGGGGAGGACAGCTGTGTCTTGGGGAGACTTACTGGCTGGAAGTTTATCCTATCTGCTCCCTCTTGACACTTCTTTCCTACTGTCAGCTCGGGTAACTCAGTTGATCCGGGGCTTCGGTAGTTCCTGGAAGTCGTCGGTGGAATCGCTGAGTCAGGACGTGATGCGAAGTTTCACCAACTTCAGAAATGGAACCAGCATCATCCAGGTGACTGCAACTCCGGCGCCCGCCCCATCTCCCATCTCTGACTTTCTCCTCTTTTCCTTGGACATCACCTGAATACTCTCCATTTCAGCCCCAGCTAGGCCTAATGTTCTGGTGAGCCCTACCTTGCCCCGGTCATCAGCATTCACACCGCCCACTGTCTGATCTCTCGTTGACTTTCTCTGTGCAGGGAGCACTGACCCAGCTGATCCAGGTCTATCATCGCTTCCACCGGGTGCTGTCCCAGCCGCAGCTGCGGGCCCTGCCTGCCAGGGCTGAGCTCATCAACATCCACCACCTTATGGTGGAGCTGAAAAAACACAAGCCCAACTTCTGATGTGCCGGGATCTGCCGAGCTCTGCCTGCGATCCTCTCCGTGAACCTCTTACCCCATCCCGTGCCCTTCATCACCTGGGTGCCCCTCAGTCTCCCTTGCTTCCCAGGCCTTTGACATGCCTCACCCAGCCTCCAGGTGAGGACCTTGCCTTCATAGAAGCCTGCTGAATCTTCCGATGTCTTAAGGTTTTCCAAGACCACTTGGCCCTGGGCTTCTAAAACAACCGTTATCATTTTCTCAGTTTTGTCAACTTCTTTGCTCTTATACAGCCAAGGCTCTTTTCCTTCTACAAGCAGAAGCTTTCACTGCCTCAGTCTCTGGCTCACATAGCTCTATCGCCATGTCCTGAGGTGTGAAGACTCAACTTGGAATTGGTGGCCAGGGAAACTGCCTCCAAGTTACTGATTTTTTTCACTCAAAATAATTTATTTTCTGGCACTTTTTGACCTAAAGTCTCAATAACTTTTTTTTTTTTTTTTTTTTCTTTTTGAGACAGGGTCTCGTTGTGCAGTTCAGGCTATAATACCTTTTTTTGGTCTTTTTGAGACAGGGTCTCGCTGTGCAGTTCAGGCTGGCCTTGACCTCACTCTGTAGCCCAGGCTGGTCTTGAACTTGCAACAATCTTCCTGCCTCAGCCTCCTGAGTGCTGGGATTACAGGTGTGCGCTACCACGCCTGGCTAAGATCTCAATAACTTGAACACTAACCTATTCCTGGCTTGAGAATTACTCCAAGGTCAGTCTGCAGAAAACAATAAATTAAAAAAAAGAAAACAATAAATATTTGTAGGACATAACACCCACACATTGTTCCCTTCCTCCTTCCTCCTACGGTGGTCAGGTGGCCACGTCTCTCCAGAGTGACTTCCTCTCAGAGGACTTCCTGGGGTTGCATCTCTTCTGGTGGGAACTGAGAACGTAGGGGCAGAAAAGTACCCACTGAGCTATAGCTACTTCAGTGTACTGTTTATGGAGCAAGTGTTGCACAAGTGACCAACTGTTGGTGGAAAATGCAAATGCCTCAGGGCTGGGAACATGGCTATGCCACTGCCCCGAGGGCTACTCTGGGGACTCCCTAGGCCAATGGGGACTCCGATGTCTCCTCTCCCACAGCTCCTTAGCTCCTTGTGGCTGTCCTGTCACAGACCCTTGCTGGAGAATTGTAGCACCTGCCCTTCCCCCATGCCATGTTGGACCAGTTTCCGCACAGATCCATATTGGTCGTTTCTGTGTGACAGAGCGTTCCTGCCGCTCCTGCCTGTATACCTACCTCATCTGAGCTCAGCTTGTGGACTAGAGAAACACAGGCGCCTTTAAGTCCTGAGGGGAAAGACACGTCAAGAGAAAGTAATCGGCTAGCGTGCTCCCCGCCCCCAGGAAGAGAAGGGAAGGATGCCCAGCAGCAGGGGCAGCGCTGGTGCAGCCGCAGACGGTTTCTCCCCATTGGCTCCCGCAGTGGTCGCGGCAGGGCACATAGCGGACGCTTCTCCGTTCCCGCCTTTTTTAGGGTTCCGCCCCGTCTCCGAGAGCCGCACTCTGATTGGCTCTAGAAGCTGTCCCTCAGCTCTTCGGCCTCTGCCAGTCTTCCCTCGCAGAGGCTGAGGCGCCCTGGAACTCTGCGCTGGCCGGAGCAGGAGGAAGGAGGAGGAGGGGGAGGAGGAGGAGG